TTTTAAACCCTACTGTGGACTTGGGCAGGCAACGATCAGGTTGCCTGCTGGAGAAAGCAGTAAGGAAGCGCAAAGGAAAAATCACCGGACCCGTCAGCATAAATATGGCGGACCGGATTCACTTTACGCAGATTAACTTGCATCACAGCAAATGCGCCTCGGCTGTACTAGCCAGGTGCGCAGCTGTGATGCACACAAGTAAATACATATTTTTAATACAGGAACCATGGATCATCAAGGGACATATAAAGGACTTGGCAGCTGTGGAAAACTATTCTGGGCCGGAAACACGGACCGACCGAGAGCGTGCATTATAGCGAAAGGAATAAACGCCTGTCTATTGCCACAATTTAGCGATGGTGACTTTGTTGCCATCAGACTGAAAATAAAGACGACCGGTGGAATAGTCAGGGATCTAATTATAAGGTCAGTGTACATGCCCTACGATTTGGAAAACCTGCCCCCACATGAAAACGTGATTAAACTCACGACTTATGCAAGGCAGAAAGGGCTAGAAATACTTCTGGGATGCGATGCCAACTCGCACCACCTGGTGTGGGGAGCACCGACATAAATCCCAGGGGTGAAAGCCTATTCAACTTTGTGGTAGGTATGGAGCTACACATCCTGAATAGAGGAACAGAACCTACCTTCCTGGACTCTAGAAGACAGGAAGTGATAGATATAACCATATGCTCTGGCGGAATATTGGATCTGTTGAGAGGATGGAAGGTCTCTGATGAGCCCTCAGGATCAGACCACAGGCAGGTCCGTTTCACCATGGAGCAAGTACAGAGCCAAGGGTTATGGAAGAGAAACCCTAGAAAACAAATTGGAGGGGGTACGAGGAAGACCTTAGGAGTCGACTCAAGGAAGCACCCACTAGATTCCACACCAAAGAAAATTTGGAAACAGCGGCAGACTACTTGAATGATGCCATTAAATACTCATATAAGATGAACTGCCCTTTAGAGTCAAAGAATCCTTCAGCCAAAGCACCATGGTGGAGCAAAGAGCTGGCTAAGCTAAGGGCTGAGGGGAGAAGACTCTTTAATAGGGCTAGAAATGTAAATACACCGAGATCCTGGGAGGAGTACAGGAAATCTCAGAGAATTTACAAAAAGGCCATAGTAAAAGCTAAAAGGAAAGGATGGAGAAGTTTTTGCTCAAGTATAGAGAGTGCTCCTGAAGCATCTAGACTGAGAAGAATACTCTGCAAGGAAACCAAACACAATGGGGCTGCCTTAAGTTTCCCAATAGAGGGTACACAGAAACTGCGGAGGAGACCCTACGGCACCTTATGGAAATCCATTTCCCAGGCTTTAGGGAGGACTCAGCAGACAACAACAACAGGCAGAGACCCATGACCGTGCACAAATCAAGGGCATGGGGACTGGCAGCTAAAGTGGTTTATCCACAAGCAGTGGAATGGGCGGTCGGTTCCTTCGAGCCTTTAAAGGCTCCAGGACCTGATGGAATATACCCGATCCTGCTGCAGAAAGGGCTGAGCAGCTTGTTAGGCCCAATGACAAAAATCTACAAGGCAAGTATTGCCCTCAGACATGTCCCCCAGAAGTGGAGAGAAAACCAAGGTGGTTTTTATACCTAAACCTGGCAAGAACGGTCACGTCAGGACAAAGGACTATAGACCAATTAGCCTTATGTCCTTCGTATTGAAGACCTTAGAGAGACTGGTAGACAGATTTCTCAAGTCCAACTCTCTAATACAACAACCTCTAGCCGACTCTCAGTACGCTTACAGGGAGGGCAGGTCTACCGAAACCGCCCTACATTACCTGATAGGCAAAGTTGAGAGTCAGCTGAAGGCAAAGGGCTATGCGATCGGAATCTTCCTGGACATCGAGGGCGCTTTTGATAGCACTTTACACGAGGTGGTAGGGGAGGCACTGATCAGACATGGAGTACAAGAACCACTGGTGGACTGGATAGAAGACATGCCAGTGGACAGATGCTTGACGGTGGAGTGCCAAGATATCTCCATCAGAGGAAAACCAACGAAAGGCTGCCCACAGGGGGGAGTTTTATCTCCTCTGTTGTGGTGTCTAGTGATAGACGACCTGCTAAAGGAGCTACAGAGGAAAGGTTTCTCGACCTTTGGTTATGCTGATGACGTGGCCATTGTGGTTAGAGGACCATTTCTCAACACACTAAGGGACCAAGCAAAGGATACCTTAAGGATTGTGCAAAACTGGTGTGAGAACAGAGGTCTAACGGTAAATCCGAGCAAGACAAATATTATGGTCTTCACCAGAAAATATAAACCTGAACCCATAGAGACGTTAAAACTCTGGGGAAAGGAAATACCGTTTACAGACTCGGTGAAATACTTGGGACTGATTCTAGATCCTAAGCTTAGCTGGGGAAAACATCTCATAGAGCAAAGGAAAAAGTTCTATGCATCCATGTGGATGTGTAGAAGGGCAATGAGCAAGTCGTGGGGCATCAGCACTGGTGCAGCATTGTGGCTGTACAGGGCGATCCTGCTGCCGCGGCTGCTATACGCGTCAGTCGTCTGGTGGACGAGAATAAATAAAGGAGAGGTAAAGAAACTACTTAGAAGCCTGCAAGGTAACTACCTAAGGGCTGCAGTAGGGGCCATGAGAACCACACCCACAGAGGCGCTTGAAATAGCACTCAGTGTTACGCCAATAGGCTTGGCCGTGATAAAATCAGCCAATACCGCGGCATACCGCCTGAAATGTCAGGGTGAATGGAGAAACACAGGACTGGGACACACCAGGCTAGGTCTTCTCCAAAAGTACCCTATTGAAGGAAAACAAGACAGAACCACAAGAAAGTATCAACTGGTAAAACATTTTAAATTATGGATACTTGATAGAAACGAGTGGCTGAAACCGGACGGGATCATGGACACAAAGGTGGACATGTGGTTCACGGACGGATCAGGCATAAACAATTGCTTTGGAGCAGGAGTATATGGATTTGGGGAAAACCATAGGGAGAGTATTCTAATGGGAGGCGACTGCACGGTCTTTATGGCAGAGATGCTCGCCATCCTCAGATGTGCCGAACTGAACCTAACCAAGGGAACAAATTGCAGAAAAATATTTATCTGCTCAAACAGTAGGGCAGCCCTCCTGGCGTTGGCGGGTACGACCACCGAGTCAAACTTGGTATGGGACTGCATGCTGGCGCTGGAGGAGCTGTGTGGAACAAATAAAGTAACGTTAGTCTGGGTACCCGGGCATCAGGGCATACCGGGAAACGAAATAGCAGACTCACTGGCTAGAGAAGGGGCTAGCAAAGCACCACATAGTCGGGAGGTGGGAGTGCCCTTTACGATGGGCAAGAACTTTATCAGGGACAGTATAAACAAACAACATAAGGCCAGGTGGGAAAATCTGAAATCCTGCCGACAGGCTTTCTGATGAAAGACATAAATGGTAACAGAACCAAAGAACTACTCACTAAATAGGCAGAAATTGAGAATGGGGATAGGACTGCTGACAGGACATTCACCAATACTCAAAGCCCACCTATTCAATATCAGACTCGCAGACAGGAAGGAGTGTCGACTATGCGGGGAGGAAAAAGAGGACAGCATACATATTCTGTGCCAATGTCCGGCTCTGGCTAGAAAGAGATTCAGGATCTGGAGACAAAGTTTTCTAAAATCCCAAGAATTAGACAAAACAAGGGTGGTGAAACTCATAAGCCTAGTGGAGAACTCTGGGCTGAGTACACATCACCCAGTTTAAAGACAAGAGTGAGGAGACACAATGGATCTCGCTAGATCTAGGTGCCGTCGGGGACCAAGTCATGGAACCACTCACTAACTATCTACTACTACTACTACTACTACATTTCATTCATTTATCAAACCTATTTTTTGCAGATATTTAGCTACTGGAAATCAGATTTTGTCCGTTGCATTCCCAGTGAAAACTACCTAGTCAAAGTGATGTCAAAATGTTATCAATTTGATGAACGGTATAATGTCAAAAAGAGAGATCATAATGATGGCAATTTGACTGCAAAACGTCCCATACTTTGATGATGATTTTGACTGTCATTTTGATGTCTGTTTGATGTCAAAGGGTTTTTCGGTTAAAGATAATAATGCAGTTGTAATGGATAATATATTTGTTTATACTTTGAATGTTTTTAGCTACGATGCATGATATGTTACACTACTATGTTACATTCTGTGATGTCTTCTGTCATTCAATAGAAGAGCTTGTTTTATATATAAAACAAACTTTTCTATTGGATAACAAAAGACGTCACAGAGTAACATAGTGTAACATATAGCGCATTGTGGCTGAAAAACATCCAAAGTATAAACAATTACATTATCCATTACTCTCTACAAAAATAAATACAAAATTAAAACTGAATTACATTTAATATGTTAAAAGCAGCAGTTTTTAATCGAATATATGTATTTTAAATTTATTTGCTTGATCATAAAATGCAATTACAATTAAATAACTTTTAAATAAAAAATTCAATAGTTACAAATGTTTATCAATATTTTTTATTTATATGAGCATTATATATATTATATATATATCTATATAGATATCTATATAGATTTTTTGGATACTCTTATTATCTATTATACTAGTCATAAAAGAAACATTACAAAACCTTGTCACATATGAGATATACGCAAATTAACTCTAGCACAATCAGTCGTATAACAAAAAAATAATTAAAAGTAACTCATAAACTGACTGAAAAATCGTAGTATCATCAAAAATCATGTAAACTTCGCATAAAAGAAACGTTATATGTTAAACAAATATTGAAAGACATTTTATCTGTTAAATTTCCATATTGGAAACATCAATAACATAACAAAAATTCATCAATCTCGTAATAAAAACTAAACATTGCACATATAATAAATAATAATGTTTTCATTGTTCAACTCTGCCAAGAATAGAAAATATATAAACGAACGTAAATAATAACTCAAAAATAATAAGAAAAACTAAAAAATAATGTACTTAGGTACTAGATATGTACTTTACTTATAATATACTTCAGGCATCAGAGGGGTCGTAGACCTTATAAACTGTTCGTGTAGTTCAGATTCGGGTTACAGTAATGACGATAGCTAACAAAAAGAAGCATGGCTGTTGCGGTACGAAAAAGCAAAAGTTGAAAAGTACACCTTACAATGGCACAACAATGTCAAACGGTATACATAATACAATCGTACAGCCAGAGATGGTTTTATTAGGCATCAGAATTTTGCGACTCATTAACTTTCCTTCCATTTGCAGTTTGAAACCAACGCTTGATTTTTGCTTCAGCTTTAATAAGAAAGCTATCAGGAAAACGTAATTTAACTGCACCTATACACGAAACAATTGCAATAAATTAATATTATTAACAAAAGAAACACTGATATATATTTCATATATTATAAGTATTAAAAAAATAACTTAATATAATTAGAATGAAAATTATGAGATTTACGTAATAAATTTAAAAAATCGAGATACTTGCCAAATACAACTTCACATAGTTGTGTTTCAGAAAATTTTATCTTATCGCCTTCTGATCCACTCCAACTTATTAATTTGGCAAGATCATTTGAGATCAATTTGGACAAAATGTTCCCTGTGACACTACGTTCTGAGGGAGTAGAAGATGTACCAAAACTGCCACATTTAGAATAAAGCAGATCTCGCTGTTAAGGCATGAAATGTGATTATCATAATTGCCTAGTAAATTTTTAACATGCATTATACAATACATATATTATAATAACATGATATAAGACATACCACAGATTCATAATTGATGCGATTAGCTGCTAAAACCGTCTCCATTTTCTGAAAGTCCTTTTTTGTTTTTAATGGAATAGATGGAATTTTAGAAGATATCATGGATTTAGCATGATCTGGATTGACAGACCGAACAATGATTGCCTGGTTAATCAGTACTGAATCTAATTTTTTGCTAATTTCCAGAAGTACTGTGCTGCTTAACTTCTATTCACTGTGACAATGTTTGCAGCCATCACCTAAAAAAATAAAGTCTATTAAACATCTGCAAAGAATGTCAAAACAATAACTATCTAAACCGTAAACGCAAATAAATACCTTTATTCTTAAAATTGTAGGAGTAACTTTGATTAGCCTTTGTATTCGGCAAAGAAAAATGTTCTTCATTTGTACCAGAACTTGATCCAGCAGAAGTCTGTACCAACGAACATGAAGATCCTTTATCAGGATTGTTTATCCGCATTGAGTGTAATGAAAGAGAGTCTTGAGCATCATCACTTGTAAAATCAGGTGGAGAGAGAATTGTAGAAGTTTTACTATTCAAAGATGTATGGTCCTTGCTTGATACTGACAAAAACTTCTGTTTGGTATGATCCATTTCCTGCTGTTTTTCGTGCTTCTTAATATTACTTTGAGATTGATTACCGCGAATCTTTTGCAGTTGTCTTTGCTTTCGCTCACTATCTTGGCTGGAATTGTCTTGAAATTTCTGGACTCTAAATTCGATATTTTTATGAACAGATAACACAGATTCTTTTCTGGTCACTTTCTCCATCTCTTTATCTTGCACTTGATTCAGATGGATACTATCTTTAACTGCCTTCAAGGCATCAGAGTTGATTTCAGGCAAAGTTTCGCTGCCGTTATCACTACTACTTTCACTAAGTTTTCTAATTTTACTTTTGCGATAAACTTTTTCTTTTCGAGATGGTAAAGTGTTTTCCTTGTCTTCACTATCTTCATCAGAATCATCAATGTATCGCTTTGGTGGCTTCCTCCTTCGTGGGGCGTTATCTGCTTCTGTTTCAAGGGATGTGTTATCTTCAGCTTTCTTCAAACCTCTGACTGCATCATCATATTCACTTACAATTATCAGTTTAAAAATAATAATTTTTATATTTATTGCACAAAAATTTATTTAATCAAAAATTGATAATATATGCATATATAAAGAAATTGACATATTAGATTTAATGAACTGACGGTATAAGTGAAGAACGGATCCTTTATGAAGAGGCCAATGAATATTAGGCTCAATACAATTTTTTACAGATCTTTTTAAGTGTACAAGTCTTGATCCTTTTTCGGGCCAGTTTTCTGGAGGCCAGAACATATCAGTAATTTCATCGTCATGTTTGTCAATCCATTTAACAGGAACCACTGCAACTGTTTCTTCTTCCTCTTGTTTGTCTCTCGCGAAAGCCACCACAGCATACTGAAAAAACCAAGATTTATAAAACTTAAAAAATGACCTAAAATTATATATACAATATTAAAAAGTAATGGACTAATGTCAAAGTGCTATAATATTATGATAAGTAATATAGACAACTTTTATTCGGCATCAAGTATTTTAAAAATATTTGCAGTAACACTTGTAAATGTATGCTTGATTTAATTAAAATTCGTCCTATTTTAATAAATTGATTGTTAAGAAAAGGAAGTCATATATTCTCATACAAGACAATAAACACACAATGCTGATACTTTTACAAAAACATATATAAATACACACTTATTCACAAATGCATATATTGCTATAAATTTGCCACACTACTAAATATAATAAAATAAATACAGTAAATTCTAGGTAAAAATGCTACTTTTTGTTTCCACAAAAACCGATTTCTCAGAGAAACCTTAACCACAAGTGTAAATTTGAAAGTTTAAATCATATCACCACAAAGAATAAACTAAACTAATAACCAATGTCGACTATAAGATAGTAAAAAACAATAATCATGTAGCATATTACGGTACAAATACGTAAACAGACAATATAACGGATCCTCACCGTTATCAATAGTCATATATCAGAGGGACCATGCGCAAGAGGAATACAGAGATATGATCTATTATTTTCAGGAATAAGAACACATTTTATAATTGTATCATTCATTTCCCAAGATCTAACTGTTTCATCTAATTGTGAAACAAGAACGATGCCAATCAAGGATGAATCCATTGGGTATTGATAATAACTCTTCTGTATATGAAATCGTTGTCCATGTAGGATCACTACATTATCTTCACAATAAATAATATTTCGCAACAAAACTACAGATCCATCTTCAGTTTTAAAGCAATGATCAGGAACATCACATCTCAATGTAAATTTATTGCTGGTAAGCACCTTATAGTGCTGCCCTTGAACAGTTTCATTAGGATCAACATGATTTTCGCTCAGTTCTATACCCTCAATAACATGTTTCGGCTCTGACAAGTGTCCATTGGTTTCAGCATCCCTTCTTGCTAATTGTTGCAAAGGATGATATCCCGATCGTAATGATTGCTTGATTGTTTTTAAATAGTTTTCATATGGAAAAGCACTAAATGAATCTAAGGATCCATGCTCTTCGCATTCATCAACTAAATGAGTAAGTCCATGAACATTAAACACAACAAAGTCACGGCTAAAAACATTACTGCTACATTGTACAAATAAATTTAAAAATATTCTAGCAACATTTCTCATTGCAATATTCTGCACGAGTGAAGGAGAGGCTAAAATGTAAATGCTACAGTGGAGGAGTAAGAAAGTGTGATATATTTTCGTAGGAGTATGATCCTTTATTATTTTAACACCATCATATAGTAAAAATCTTCTAAACTCTGTAGCCTTAAGATGAGCAACCGTTTTGAATCGATAAGGCTTTCAGTTAAATTCTCTAGGAATAAACTGCCCAATCTATGCTGAAGTATTTTTAAAAGCTTCTATGTTTTCATCTCTCAATTTGCCTCGGTTTCTTATTTCTAATAATCGCATCAAAAATCTCTTCATCACACCAACGCATACAAGATGAAGATATTCAAGCCTGAATTGGGATACCATTCGAATATTGAGTCGCTCTTCTAATGGTGATAATCCTTGATGGTGTTCAGGATTTCTTCTGTCAAAAGATTGATCTGTACGTTTCTGTCCATTGTTCAAATAAACCATTCTGTGATGGTACTATTCACCTTCAACTTCACATTTTTCACATGAAAATAATCTATTATGACCAATGGTACACTTCACAAAAGATCTCGCTGCAGCATCACAAATAAAGTTATGTATAGATACATCATAAATATGACCATTAAAATTAAAACCGTTTGTATAAAGGTCCTCTATTTCGTTAATAAATTCTTCAAAAAATTGTTCTAATGTTGAAGGTTTTAATTCTGTACCAAAATAAACACTAATAATAAAAGGTTCACAAATCTTATTGTCAGCCAATGATCCTAAAATGGGCCAAAAATGCAAATTTCCACTATTATCCAGAGGTAATCCGTCTATGCTGATATTCAATCGTATTCGTCCATGAGAATTTAAATATTTTTCAGTTAAGAAAAAATTAAGACTTTTTTTTATTCCTTTGTACCGCACATGTCCATTATCAATCTCAATCACTGGCGTAGTCTTAGGTGTATTCAGCAAGGTTGTATATGACTTAGGAAGATTTGGATGCACTGTGTGTAAAATACTCAACAAACTGTTTACTTTTCTTTTTGAGACATTATAAGAAGCCCATTCTGTTAGAGCCATACGTAAATAGACATCTACGTCAAATTCTTCATCAGATTCATTGTCAGTTATATCTTCTCGTATACTTTCTGCAGACAAATCCATATTATCTGACCAATCTGTATTATTATCACCTGAAATATCGTTTTCATATTGACTGTCATTTTCTATTTGCTCTTGTTCCAATTGTTCTTGTTCCTGCACTTCAACATCCGTATTTAATTCTAGTGAATCTAAAATCTCTTCTTCATGTACTTTTAAATGTTGAGATGCGTTACATGAATCACTTGATCCTTCATATTCTTCATATAATTGCAATCTCAATCTACGTTCACGCTCCACCTCAGCTTGCCTTTTCAAAATCCGCTCATGACGATTCTACATATGAAAGAATGCATTGTCATATTATAAAAACAAAAGAAGTTATATAACAATGCCATTTACAATATTCCAATATTCTGCATTTTAGCATTTTCAATAAATGACTGATTCAATGCCATAAATACATTACGTACAATAAGCTTCTTGCAACAATCTTGCTCTCCACCAATCTAAATCTAATTTAATACTTTATATAAACTTTTACCTATATGTCTTTATGAATACAAAGATCATCAGAAAAACTGTACTCTGCAAAAGTATATTTCTCTCTCCTTCTCTCTCTTTTTCTCTCCTTCTCTCTCTCTCACTCTCCCTCTCTTTAAAAGTGTCCGAATACATATATTATATACATTGGACGACCATTATTGCATAAATATAAGGAGATTCAAATTATTTGTTTAAGATATGATGTAATTAAACATTTATTTTGTGTTTTTTCATAGGTATATATATATATATATATATATATATATATATATTAACGACACTTTAAAAGAAAAAGAAAAAGTTTGTCTCCGTCTAACCTTCTCTAGACATTTTTCATACATATACACAAACACAACTTTTCATAATTACACAAAGGCCTCTTTTGGATATTATTATTTCTTACATATATAAAGTAAACACAAGAAAAACACCGGTTAACCTAACTTATCAAACTTTCTCAATTACTTATAATAGGCTAATAAATACGCTGTAGAAAACAATAATACTATTATGTACATTATTTATACTTACTGCTCTTTTATCCATGTCGATCCGAGATATCAAGTCAAAGATTTTTAGCGTCTCTTTCGCGCGTCGCGATTGCTTAGGAGGAACGATGCGGGAATTAATAATGTGATGCGACGATTAAATCAACTGAATATATTCTTCAATGCAAATTGTACGTGTGAATACATATAGGTATATCGCTCGGATTAATAAACGTGCGTTCGTGCGCGGCGACTGTCGAAGACGGAATCTCTCGTTATCTAAAAATCTCCTATTTATACCTTGCCTCAAAAACGCCCTTCGCTAGGCTTCGAGAGGCTTCGCGAATT